AAAAACCAGTATTTATACTGAAATTCCTCAAGGAATAGGCCGAGATGTATTTACTGAAAGCTTGAGATATGTTGCAATGGAAAATTCATTTGACTCATAAGAAAAATTATTATATTGCATTCGCCGTGTATATATATATAATTGTTACGTAGCCTTGCGAAGTTTGTTATTAAAAACCGAATATACTAACCAATCAAGTTCTTATCGTTGCATTTATATCATGGTACGCATTTAAAACACTATTAGTGTAATTGCAATGCTCGGGGTTTTGAAGTTGGTAAACTTAATCGAAACGAGTCGGCTGGTCTGAGTTGTTTATAGTTCGCAGGGTACTTGTAAGTATCATGTAGTTCCCGTTCTTTTACGAACAAAGCGAAGGGAAGGTTTTCGCGCCCTTCTAGACCACAAGCATAACGGGGGGAAGCTCAACCGCAGACGATTCTTCCCCTCCTTAAGAAGTGATTCCCAGAAGCGTCCGACCGGGAAGGGTTAGGTCCGACCGGTTTGGCGGCTCTTCGACCCCCGGACTCGATCGTCGAACACCTGTCGTTCTCGCCCCGGGCCACCATTAACTCCGCGGCCGTCCGCAAAAACACACCGTGGCAGTCGTCCTCTAGCCCCCCGGCTCCGACGGAAATTCCGTAGTCCGGATGGAAAATGAAGATTCACGACCATCCGCGACGAATTATCATCCTCCAGTCGTTTCCATACAAAGATTTTATCCCATTATCTGCATTACTAAAGAGTTTTTCTAGACTCTTTTGACGTGTCGCCAACCATTTAATCTCCTCAAAGTGATGCTAAATTCTTAGCACATCATGACGTAACGTGACGTGAGGCTATATGCCTTGAGCCAGAAATCTTTTCTCGCCTTTTTTTCAACGCTGCAGAGAATTATGCAAAATTCTCCCGTAACGAAGAGCAAAAAAATGGGGGGGAAATTTGATTATCCACGTATCTTCGGGTTTTCAGCATCTGATTCCCAATTAACTTTTCAGTAGCATCTTCGCTCTTCTTTCCGAAGGCGAAACTATCTTTCGACGATCTTTCTTATATCTTTTATCGTTTATCGTCTTCTTCTCAAACGTCGTTTACCTGTAGTCGAAAACCGTGACGAGAATGTTCGCTGCTCGGTAGACTTACACTGACTTATTCATTCTCGTTCTTTTCTTCGTAAATAATTGAGATCGAGTCCACACGTGTTAAAAAAATAAATCAGAAATAGAACTAGAAAGAGACGGAATAAAATGTATAGGCCTTCACATATATTTTATCATCATTTTTATTTTTTTATTTAAGTTGGAAGCGTTATCTTATGATAATGCAATTTCAACACAATGCTCGTGTCACTTAAAAGTTATATATAAAAATTCAATAGAATTTTATAAAAATAATTGTACTGCAATTAAAAAGAAATATAATATTTTTTTATAATTATTCTATAACTTTAATTGTCATTAATTTGTTATTTTTTTCAATACGTTTCAGATTTATTCCTGAATAAAATATTATTATGTTACTCGAATGTGTCGGCATTGGTAAGCTTGATTTGAATCTTCCAAGCTTGAATGCGTAATTTCCTATCAGATAATATTTTAAAAGTTGTTCAGTCCAGTTTTATAAACATTTAGTAAATTTTCAAACGAATAAAGACATTCAAAACTTTAAAATCAGAAATCTTTACTGAAAAATTAATAGTTTAATTATGAATAAATTTATTAGGATACAAATAATGATTAATATATTTAAATAAATAATATAGCAGTAACACAGTACGTCTAGCGGATTAATTATTCATTAATATACTTAGAATAGTGAGAAGAAAATTCGTCGACTTAACCAACAACATTAGTAATTTGTATGTCACTTCTGATTGAAATTTTGAAAAGAAAAAAAAATTCAATATCCCAGCTGATTTCAGTGAAAAATAAATTATATAATCCATCTTGCTTTCAGTCTTTTTTTTCTCTAGAAGTAATATTTTAAAAGATAATGTTATAATATGGAATTGTTAAAAACAGCAGTCCCCTTATATGAAAAATAGAGAATTTTTATTTTCAATTTTTGGGAATAAATTACTAGTTACAGATACAAAATTCTGTATAAATTCTGTATAAACGCGAGATAAATTCTGTATAAACGCGAGATAAATTTCAGAGATAAATTCTGTATAAACGCGTTTCAATGGAATGTCTCCTATGCTCTTTGTTCCGAAAACCAGATTAAGTATAATTCAACGAGCTTTCTTAGGACGAATAGATTATTCAAGAGGAAGAAAAAAATTAAAACTGAAATATTATCCTTTTAGTTACCAAAATATATATTTGTCTACATAAAATTTATAGAAACGTATAATAAAAAAAAAATTGGCCGATGAAAATTCCGATTCATCATTCAGAATTTTAATCATCTCTTAAATAAACATTTAAATATCCGAGTGATTGAATTTTCTAAATCAATATTTGTTTTGTCATAGAATTTGTCCATAAATAATTAATACATATTTAAACTATAAATTTTTCTTTTTTTTTTTTTAATTTTGTAATGCCGTATTTTAAAATTTTCCAACTAAAGGCAAGTCTTATATACACGGAGCATGGTGAATAAATAAACAAAAACTATTTCTGTAACTCTGATGTGAGATCTGTGACATAGTTCTATGAGTCTTTATGGAGCATCTGGTCTCGCTTATGGATAAAATGCGGTCTATAAGGAATTCGAGACGAGAGAAAGAGATAAACTTTGTGTCAGAGTGACACTTCTAGTATTATCCTACATCGACCTTTTGCATTATTTACTTTTCTTATTCTATTGTGATTATATACGTTATATTTAAACATATAAGGTCATAAAAGTTTATGTAGTCTTTAATTAATATACTTACACATTAATTATTGAAATTTTTACATCATTATCCTTAAAATCCGGTCAAGTTTTACATTCTCGTATAGACAGTAGGGTAAATTGCGTTATCAACCGTCGATTTCGGTTCTTATTCGAGGTTAGACTCCCTCTTCTTCCGGCGAAAAAAAAACACGACAATACATCATCTACCTCTATCACTACGAGTAAAATTATCATCTATTTTTCGCTTGTTTACGCGTTATCGAATCGCGATACATTGATAAATTCCGAAATCGTAGCCTCTTATTTTGTCGGACGAGGGTCGAAACCCGGTCCAGCTTTTTTCGTGTATCTGCCACTCGTCCTTACACTGCGGCGCTCCTTAAATTTAAGTGGAAATAAGTACATCGGAAAGGAGTATCCGGGTTGGGTCTACTTTCGGATACAGCCCAGTCGAGAATAAACGGATAACTGGATAAAGACGTGTTAAGCGGAGAGATGTGCGAATATTTTAATAAATAATTGGTCGTAAGGAAAAAAAAAATGGAAGATGGACGTCTTAATTTTATGGATTAAGGATAGATCAAATACTAAGAAGGATTTGGATTTATTCAATTTGATAAATATAAAAATCAGCAGTTGTGATATCTCTATTATGTTTTAAATTATGTACTGTACGTAAGTAGACATTCGTTTATCCGTGAAACACCGGCAAAGAATGGAGGCAAACTTTCTTTTTTAAATACCTTCGACGACGCGCGTTGGGAATAAATTATGTATCATATTACCTTACGAAACGGGAGAAAAGTATTTAACCGATAACGAGAAACCCCAAAAAATATTTTTATTCAAGTTATTCCAGTTTATAAATATAAATAAGTTATACCAGATTTAAACGGCGTTCAAATAAATGACTCGGTGCATTTATTTAAAAATATATATATTCCGGAATATATTATTTATATAATTTACTTAACATGCGTTTTTAATATCTGTTACTTTCCTTGGAAATGCAGCGAATTAAGCTGTTCTTACTAACAAGATAAATTCAATAAATTACGATCAGTTTCTCCATTGCCGTGTCCCGTTTCTTTGTTCTCCGTTTGTTTGTTAAGAAATGTTATTTCATCCTAAGATTTGTGTTAAAATTTATATTAACATTCAAATGAAATATATTTAATATGTTGAGAATTTTTGTTAAACTATTATTTTAAAAAATTCTTCGATATCTTTTAAGTTCCGTAATCTTTGCATTGTAAACACCGACTGATTGATTAATGCAGAAAATGCGAGACGTCTCTTGATTATAATGACTAATAAACGAAACGAGAAGAAACAAGCGCACGAAACACTTGGCAAATTCCAGCCAATTTTCCAGTCTTCCGCTTTCCCGTCGTCCTCAGTGAAGAGAAAGACCGAGCAATCCCGTCGCGTTCGTCCAAAGGATCTTCGTCCTCCTTCGGAAAACGGTTTCATCTCGCGTCCGAAATTCCATATAAATAAATAAATTGTCGTTCCGGCTAGCGTTACGTACTTCCGGTCGGAGACCCGCCGATTTCCGGAGGCGGCTGCTTTAATCCCTTCCACCGGGTTTTCCGTTTGGCGTCGGAGTTACGAGCGGTCATCGATCATCTCGGCAACTGAAAAAAAATCTAAAGTCGGTCGGTTACGCGGCGCGGATAATCTCCGTTGGCAATAAAGTCGGCGCGCCGAACGGCTTACGCTGGTCGGCGCGCGGCGCAAACAGGTACAGTCAATCCTAATTATCTTTACTTAGACGTGCGCCACGTAAACGGCGCCGAGCGGAGCGACGACGACGACGAAAATTAAAGCCCGAAAGAAAATTTGGAATGCGAACTACACTCCGGCAGACGAGCGAACGGGTGCCGAATAATTCGTAAGCCTTCTTCTAGACTCGAGCACTGTTTCGAGCGGAGAAGTGGGAACGTTGCCGAGAGGAGAATCGGCCCCGTTGTCCGCGGACGGGGCGACGAGCGCCGAAAAAAAGAAAACGCGCCCGATCGGCGCGAACGGCGCGACGCCGGCCACCGGGAGGAATCTCGGCCGGAAACGACACGCGCCGTTCGACCGGCACGGGTCCCATGATGCACCGCGACGGTGTGCGCGGTGGGCACGGCGCCGGAGTGCTTCACAGACGAAGGAACGCGCGGAAGCGGCGGCTGCACGGCCAGACAGCGGAACCAGAACCCGACAGCGGTCGCCAAGCATCGTCCACCCGGGTCTCCGGCCAAGGAATCTCGGCCTGACTCTCGCCCATTCGGATCCTAGAGGAGGGCCGACGGCTCCAGGGATTTGGGCGCTTCGGCGCCCGGTGTGTTGTGTGTGTGTGCGCTACCGACGACCGCCCGTCGGCCGGCGGGCGACGACACTCGGCTCGGCCGGTCGAACTGTATACTTCGGACGGGACGCCTTTGCACGGTCTTCGCATCGCCTTCTTGGGCCAGGACCAAGGCCGCCGGGGCCCGTCCTTCACCCGGAACCTCCCCGCTCTCGTGCCAGGTGAGTGTCCTTCCTTCTCCTTCCCACTCGGGCCTTTTTCTCTTCTCGCTTCTCCCGCGGGTCGGCCCGAAAGAAATCGAGCATCGGCCCGGCGGCGGCGCCACCTCCCTCGGCAACAGAGGCGCCACTCCTTGGACGGAATGTAGCAGGGTCGGTCTCCGCTGCCGCCGGAATTTTTGCCGTCCGACGACCGGTCCGACCGGCGCTCGACCTTTCCCGGACTCGCACTCCACGAAAAATCCTCCTCCGCCCTCTTCCGAGATGCGGACGCCGACCCGCGGGACCGCGGCACACCGACAACCGGCGTAGGCCGAGTCCCACCACCCCGCATCTTTTTCTCTTCCCCTTCTTCCGGTTTGCACCCGACGTAAAGGGATGCCGAACCCCGGATGGCTTACAATGGCAACTTTACATCGCTCGTCTTCCGTCTTCTTGCCCACCCATTTCCACCGTATCTTACCTTAATTCTCGTAGGAGACGATCCCATTTTGCACTTGTTAGTCTCCACCTGAAAAGAAATACCTGTGTACAGGAGATTGGTTATTTGTCCTTGGATGGTGTTGCGCGTCCACTCCGCCAGAGAAGAAACTACCACCGACATTCCGATCGTACCACCTGCTATAGCCGTAACGTTTGGATCGCATTTCACTAACCTCGTGTCCGAGTCCCTTCGTCTTCCTCTTCGACGCTCGCTTCTTTCCTCGGCGAACCTGTTTGTCGATCTCCCCCAATACTTTAACTATTGTTCGTCTCACTTCTTTTTAATATTCTGGGTACTTCACCCTTGGAAAGAAAATTCTGGCTACGAGATAGACCGGGCCGTCTTTTTCTTCGGGTCGTTGCCCCCTTGTCATTATAAATACAGAACGTAAAATTCTTCTTTCGAGACCAACGTCCTTCTCCTTTAAATCTTTTACCAAAACGGACAGATCTTCGTAACGTATTTCCAGCGTACGTGCATCGATGCCTGCGCGGCCTCCTCCCAAACCCGACGGGGTAGGTGACCCTTCTCGGTGACATAGCTGGCGCGTGGCTAAAGTCCGTCCTCCTCTTCCGTCGGGTGGCGGCACGCGACGGTCCACGGTCGGAATCGTATTCGGAATCGAAGGGCTCGAATTCCGAACGTGTGCGAAAAGTTTTCGTCAGATAAAGTCTGGTCTCCCCTTATATACATAAATGTCTTTTTGCTGTATTATTATAGAATCGTCTTACAGTTTATTCTGAATGATAGAGTGGTTTTAAACAGAATGCGAAACTGCGAAGAGTCGAAAACGTAAGTTTGAAACGTTATCGATCTTGTAAAATAAAATCGTGCCTCGGGTTTCCTTCAATTAAAGGAATGTCTGTAATGCGTAACGTAGTGTTTACATTAGTATGGCTACTTTCGTTAGCGTACCCGACGGGTACCCCCACGTTTTATTGTATTGGCGGATTTCCTTTACGATTCTATTCGTGTCGTCCGAAACATTCGTTGTTCGCATTGGTTAAAATGCATGCATGAATACATAATTACTTATATTTAAAAAAAAAATACGAATATATCGTCCGTTGAGATAATTACGGATGATTACCTATTAATATTCATTTTTTAAGAATTTATTTCATTCTTTCCTCTTTGTTGTTTCTCTCGTAAGCCTGTTCTACAAGTTAGAAATCGGCTCTCGAAAGGAGTTAACTTGAACTTTTATATCTAGCATCTTTTCGTGCAGCGAAACAATTCGACAAATTTAAATGTCTAAAATTCTTTTAAGTTTAGATTTTTGAAGAGCTTTTAGTGACGTTTCTTTTATTTATTTATTTTTTTTTGTTTGTCATGGTTTCAAAACTGGCGACGTGGCGAGTGTTACACTTCGTTCTGTCCGTCACTTCGTTAGAAAACAAACATGTAAATAAACAAACAGCATCCTACTCACTTTCCATTTCGAAATGTCATTCATTCGGAGATTCTCCGGTATTGTCGCGTTTCTGACATCGGTCGAATCGGTGTGCTTTTCCTATATTCATAGCTTGTCGTTCAAAGGTGTAAAGACGTAACACGTCGAGCCGGGGGTACGTCAAATATATAAAGGTGATCGGCACGTCTAACTAATAAAATTCGCATATTACGTTTCGGTGTTTCTCACTTTTAATACTAATGCCTCTTTCGATAATATCGGTTACGCTCGTCCACCGAATATAAACCTTCTAACGATCTAATTTTTTTACTCGGAAATATGGTCGAAATACGCTTCAATTACAGTATTTGCAATATACATTTAAACTCTTAGGCTTATAGATATTATTAAACATAGGCTATACATTTAGATTAAACTAATGCCATTAAATAATTGCTCCATAATGATGATTAGGATACGTATTATCTCTAACTAAATTCTATTGCTGCACTGTTACGTCCTATACGTTTTTTTTATTAGTTAGTTTGGAAAAGTATCGACAATATCTCTTCTTCTCTGTCGGTCTTCTTTATTTTAGATCCACCCTTTTCGCCCTTTCGTCGTTGCCCGCTTGCAGTTGGTTCTGAGGCTTCGAGTTTCGCCCGGGCGGGCCCTTTCCTCCGCCTTCTTATCTTTCCAGGGAGGGTCCGATTTGATCTCGATAGTCGAAGGTCCGTCCTCCGCCCGGATCGTCGCAGGGACGACTAGATAAAGGGGCGGATTGTTAGAGGATTATCGGGCGTCGATCCGAAAGGCGGAAAAGGGTTTCGCAGAATGTCGCTAATTAGTGGGATTCAGTTCTATATAACTTACCTGCTGTTTAACATCTATCTTAAATGCAACGCTCTCAGTGGAAGGCTCGAAATGCGACTTCGTCTCCTTACTTTCCGAATCTATCGTAACAATTTGGGAAATACTCTCGGTTCAAAAATTCGATTCAACTTGTAAGAGAGCGAAGACCCTGTCCGACCGGTTGAAGGATTTTAACGCGCCACAAAAAATTCCATCGACGGTTGCGTGTTTAGGAATTAGGTACGGATTTGGTTGAAAGAATTATTTTGCATATTAATAAGAAAAGAAATTTCCTTCCATTGAGTAGCTTGGTCGCTTCCCAATTGGGAACAAAACGTGAGCCGATGGTGAAACTGCCGCCATTTTCTAAACATAGAGAATACGAATAGCCTACTAGGAAAAAATCGAATTTTTAGCTGCGATTTTTTCCAGTCATTTAATGCGACGAGTAAATTGGTATTTATCATCGTTTGTTACCATTATTCGGCAAATAATTTATTGTTATTTCGATAAAAAATCTACGAGAATTTCTTTCTAATAGTAGATTTCCAGGTTAATTATTCCTATAAATTCTTGCAATGATTAATCGACCAGAATGCATTCAAACAAGCGAAACAGTATTCCGAATGAAGATGGAAAGGAAAAAAGTTGTTTTAGAGAGGGAGATTGTAATGCTGCATTTCGCTGTACACAATTTAAACATGTACTTATAAACAGATACATTTCTTGCGATTGTTATTGATATCGCGATGGGATTTCTGGCTCAGGGATTCGTGACGAGGATGCGTTTAGTTTTATGCCTTTCAGCTTTTACTACCCTTCCCGACTGAAGCGGATAAACTATTTTCTACGGCGAGTTTCAATGTATTTGGTTCTTTTCGATCCTGCCACGAACTCGGCATCACGTCTCGATCCTATTTCGAAGAGACGACAATGATGAGTTATTCCTCGCTTTTCTTCTTCCATCTTTGATAATTATCTCGAGGAAGAGTGATATCGATGCTGTCGATCTTTGCAAATCTCTCGATTTAAATTATATTTTCTTCTCTAATCACGGATTAACGAGGATTTAAGAAACGCTCTTTCTCCAACTTTTCGATCGTTAGTCTCTTAACTCGGAATTAATTTTCTCACTTTTCTCCGCCTGTTAGCCATTTGAAACCAACGCCGAACTATCAACCGGAAGATTTTCCTGCAGTGAAACTTCCGGTAAGCGGCCGTCCCACTCGGAGATCTGCCAACAATATCTCTCGGCCTTCATTTACTACAACTGAGAGAAGCGATAAAGGGAAGAAGTTAGAATCAAAAACGTGTAAGAAAATGGTCAGTCCTTTTCTTTCTGAACTAACTGGTGGAATAGCCGAACGGTTGTCGACTTTGAAACGCCTTTCCCTTTAATTGTATTCTTTTATGGTAACTGGAACATCCGGTAGAAGGGACGATGGCCGCCGACCTACCTTCTTACACCTGTTACCCACAGGCACTAGTAATTTTCGCTACACGGTGTAAATTTTTTCACTCTCTACAGAAGTTTTAAGCAATCTTTATTGCCAAAAGTGTTCTTTAAAACAATACAAAATTATTTTATTGAACAATATTAATGCGTCGTAAAAATCTATCTTTAGAATGAGGGTTCTTTCAACGTTAACGTTATCCCAATGTTTTACCTGTAAGTAACTGTAATAGTGAAGGTTAAACTATCGAAGATTACCCTGTTGTAGTAAAACGAAACAACTTTTCGAAATGTTGAACCGTCTTTTGAGTGAGCAATGACTTCCATTACACTCGGGCTTTCGTGAGTCTTTTACTTTTCCTAAATTTCGATGTCCATTCCTGTGCATTTTCTACGGAGACTATTCCACAGAATGAAAAATGCATACATCGAAATAGCGAAAAAGGACGTTTAAAATTTAAGAAAGTATCTACTTTATGATTCTATACGTCTCTATAAATATTTCTTTTCTAAATGTTTCGTATATATTTTGTGCAGAATTTCGCATTTAATTTGTTGTTTAGGCGTTTAAAGCATCACAGACACGTATAAATAATTAGTTTGAAAAGAAGTCGTCGGATAGATAAGCGGCGCCACTCGACGAATTAACCGGAGGAAAAACCGGTTAGGAATAAACTACGAGAATTCCCAGACAGTGTTTGGGATTACGACCAAACCAAAATCTAACTTCGTAATATTTACGTTTATTCCGAAACGTTCCGAGAGACTTTCTAATGCGTGGTTGTTCTTGCGAACCGTTTTAAGAATCGATGAAGTTCACT